ACAGCGTCCTCAATCTGAGACGAGCGAGATGAACGGCACCGGATCTACCCGGATATCCAGTCAGAATGCGTGCCTTCTTTAGCCACGACACGGCGGAGAGAGAGGAAACCAGAGAAAGTGGGACGAAGACAGGGAGGGTAGAGAGAGAGCGACGAGATGAGATGAGAGAGAGCAGCGGATTGAGAGTGACAACAAATTAGGGTTTAGACTGTATTAACTAGGGGTATTTTTTTTAAATAATTATTAACTAAGGGTTATTATTTATTTAATATATTATTAATTTAAATATTATTACATATTTTTAAAAATTAAACCACCAAACACAATTTCAGTTTTTTTTAAATTGAAAATAATATCGGAATAAAACTATCAAACGCATTTTTAAAAATGATTCTAAAATGAAAATAAAAACGTTTTCGTTTTCATTTTCATATAAAAAACAAAAACGTTGTGAAACCAATTCCAAATGCACCATTTAATTTTTACACAATTTTATGTAAATTTAACGGACAAAAAATCTAACGTACCAGTATGTTAGCCTATCAGATAAGGTCCCTAATTTTTATATTACACGTAAAACTGATATTTTCCTAAAGCGTCAGAGGTTGCCTAAAACTAAAAGCTGTTTCTTTCAAATATTCTCTTGACGAACTATCAATCACCACATTCAAATGTCCCAAGTTCAAAATAAGAGAGACATGTATCAAATAATATTTGGAATTTCCCATCTAATGCTGAAAAAACGTCAACGCCTAAATGCTAGAGTAGCCTCTAATGCAGTTTGGGACAAGATCTTTCCTTCAATTATTGATGTATGACCATGTTGCTTCTTTTTATGTTTTTGTTTTTCGCTTATTTTTTTATTTTTAAGTTATTAAAAAGTAAAACACACATCATTATTCAATTGGTTACACAAATTCCCCACTTTTATCTTTTAGTAGTTGGTATATAATAATCTTCATGATTAAATTATTAATGATTATAACTTGAAACAATGCAATGGCTATTTCAGGTCACACATCATCTTAGTAATGAGGTTGGCCTACCTTACGCTAACTATATACAAGAAAATATTCAGCAAAAAAAAAAAAATATATATATATATATATATTCAAGAAAATGAGCGAGTGCCAAAGCTACAATGAGAACTTGACAAATTTTTAATCCAATGAAACTCGTCATCATAAATAAATTAATAAACCCTTGCTTGTGTTGGGTTTGGTATATTTAATGATATTTATTTATTTATTTTGCAGGTGCTAATGTCGTTTGTGTATATGTATATATTAGTTAGTAATCGTGCATTATTTTGTACATTATTTGTTATTGTGTTAAAATAGTATATAAGGTGGACAAATGTGAGTTGATAAGAGGCAACCACTAATTGATTGGCATGTGCTCGTATTATAAAAATAAAATGTATTGTTGTAAGTTGGGACTGCAAAATGCAAATCAATCTTCCTCAAAAAAAAAAAGAAAAAAAGAAAAAAAAGAAGAGGAATTGGTTGTTTATGTGATTAAATTAGCATTGAATCCGTATTGTCCCTGTTATAGTCACGATGGCTACTTATGATGCAAATAAACTTCCACGTACACAAAGATATAATCTTTAAGCATACAAATAAAGAAAAATCCCAATAAATAGTCCATTTTATGAGATTAGACAACCACAAGATGCTACATTTAATCACGAATTAGAAATCTTCTTATGTTGTCTAAGATCGTTTAATCTAACAGCACCGGAGAAAATTTGGACATATTTGCATGAATTTGGAGTTCGAGTTATGTTAGTGGTTGTTCTATATATAGACAAGTTTAATATAATATTGAAAAGTAAAAAAAAAAAAAGTTACGATTAATTTAAAAAATTTCACATGAATTATGACATTTTTAACACTTTGTCTCCTAAATTTTAAAAAATAACATCCGTTCCCTCTGAACTTTATTCTATTAACAAGTTTTATCATTCTGTTACAATTAGTGATGAAAATCACCACATGTCAGGTACATGACTCATCTAAATAATGTGTTATCGTAAATTAACGTGCAACAACCCTATGTTATTAAAAAAGTGATTAAAAAAACTCAAATGCGTTAAAAAAAACTAATTTTGTCAAATTTTTTGTTGTGTTAGGGTTAAAACTTTTCCCCCTAGAAGAATTGCCGCCATTCCCCACCAACGGCAACCCCTTATCGCCATCTTCTTCATCAACCACTTCACGACTTTCGCGACTCATCCAATTCATCGTCTGAAGCTCGACGTTGCCCGAATCCGACACCAGTGCTCCAATGGCGGCCCAAGAATCTCTACAGTACTGTGGGCCGAACCTCGTACAAAAATTGCAGGGAGCTCCTCATCCCGGCTCGATGCCAGCTCCACCAACAGCTTAAGCGGCCCACCGGGGGCCAAAACGACAACGAGATCATACAATGCCAATGCCACGAGCAAGCTCCAAGTGGTCCGATTGGGCAATCTAGCGAACAAGTGGCAACAATAATCCATAGAGAGGCCATGCATGTGATTGGTGCTAGATTATTAGAAACCTAGCGGAGAAGAGCGAGAGGGTGCCGACCACGGAGAAATTGAAGAGGATGAGGAAGGAGGTGAGGGAGTCGATGGGGATGGAGAAGTGTTGGATTAGGAAGAGAAAAACGGAGCCGCGATGGTGACGAAGACGAAGAAGGCGGAGAAGCACATGTAGTACTTCTTGAGAAAAGTGGTGAAGCGAAAGTAGTAGAGGAGGATGAGAAGGAAGGAGGCGAGGGTGACAATTCCGCTTTTAATAAAAATAGAAGGATTATCTGATTATGAGGGTATAAGCATAATTATGCTTTCAATTCTCACTAAATAAGTTACACGTGTTAATTCCGTCACTTATTGTAACAAAATGATAAAACTTATTAATGGAACAAAGTTCAGGAGGAATTAATGTTACTTTTTAAAATTAAGATGGTAAAATATTAAAAGAGTCATAATTCAAAGGAAATTTTAAAAATTAATCCAAACAATTATTCCAGTTCTTACCAATTATAGTAAGAACATGAATCAATCCCAGCACTTAATAATTTACATGCAAATTTATATTTTAGTAATATTTTTTACAAACATACTGCCTGGCTAGTCATATTAACCACGTAAATTCAATAGGGGCAAACTGAAGTTTGCAATTGACAGACTGTGACAGCACAAAAAGTCATGGATTATTGCGTTTAAAAATGAATGTTCTAGGTCACTTTGTCAGTATAATTAATACTTGAAGTAAGAGTGGTTATATATGCACTCTTTTTTATTCACACTCTGTTTAGATTACAAATTTTTAATTACAAAAACACTTTTAAATAAAATGACCAAAAAGATAATAGATTTAATTATATAATTAAATTTTATTACAAAAGAGAAACTAAAGATAAAGGGCTTATAAATTATTTCCACACCCCCTACCCTAATATTATATTGGCAAATATAAATTATTTTTATTTTAAAAATCTATAGCAAAACTCTAATTTTTACCTTTCAATCAATATTCTAAAAAATTATATGGAGATATGCTAAATTTTATTTGCTATTGTTTTTCGTTTTGTGTTTATATATGTTTACTAATCAATTTTTTAAGCTAATCATTTTTTTTTTTCATTTTTTGTAATATGAGATTATGACGCTTGTATATATCTCTTGCTGCACTTTGTCCACTATGTAATCCGAGGGCTAACCAAAATGCAATTCACCTTTTGTTTTTTGTAATTTTTTTAGTTTACTCTTTTATTATTTTTAGTTTTTTAGGGCCCGTTTAGTTCGTTAATTTAAGTTGATATGTGATTTTATGTGAGAATTTTTTACTGTAACAAAAAAATTAGATGTGACTGTTTTTAAGAATTTTTTATTGTAATAAAACTCGAATTGGTAAAATAAACGTGACCTTAATTATTTAAAATTTTTTTATTTACTTTGTATTTGAACGTTTTAAAAGGATAAAGTTTCTATTCAAATAATAATATTTATTCAGATTACCGAATAGACTACAAAATGAATTTACTACTCAGGTGACAAAAATTAAAATAAGATTTTTCTTCTTAAGACAGTAAATTAAAAAATAAAGAGATATAAATAAAAGATAGAATGGGTGTAGAGAGTTAAAAAGTGGATATGAAGAGAAATGAGGTGCAAATAAAACTATTCTTAATTATTTTATTAAAATAGTTATGAGTAATTTTAAAATAATAAGGATGTGTAAAAAAATTTAACCATTTAAAAATTATGTAGAGTCTGTAATTAAAAAATGGTGTGAAGAGAAAAAAAAAGGTGTGAAAATAATCACGTTTGAAATAATGCTCATTAAACAAGGCTAACCTTTGATAATTACTCGGTTCAACTTTTCAAACGATACAAGCAGGTTTTTATGGCAAGCATTCTAATGGTATGATATTTATTATGGCAATTTTTCGCTGCGGTTGGATTGGTCGTTTGAGTAGCGGATTTGATTATTTAGGCAGCCGATTTTATTGACGAGGGTTATTTATGACAATTAATTTTGTAATTCACTCTTATTTTTTGAGATGTATAAAAACACATAAGGTCTGTTTATTTCACCGATTTAAATTTAGAATTTAAATTTATTATAATAAAAAATTCTCATAAATAATCATATTTAATTTTTTATTACAGTAACAAATTTTAACATAAAATATATTTTAATTTAAATTAAAAACTTAAACGAACCCGTATATAATAAAAAATTAGCAACGAAATTTAGCTCAACATATTACAAACTGTGTTTCATGAAGTTCACTCAAAAAAGAAAAAAGAGATAAAAAAAGAGTGTTTTTTAAAAATTAAAAAAATGGTATTTTAGGAACGAAAGACGGTGCAACTGAAAAGAAGTAAAGCACCAGTGGTAGAGTCCGTAAATTACGAGAAAATCAGTGGCAAATTTAACAATATCCTCCACCACATTAGTTCCTCTCTTCATCTTCTTCTCTCTAAATCTGCAAATGAAAACAATTCTCTCTCTCTCTCTCTCTCTCTCTCTCGAAACATTTCCGAAAAATTTGAAGGCTGCAGCGAAATAGTAGTGATAACTGATAAGCCTCCGGAGAATCCATAATTTTCTCTCTCTAAATTTCTCTTTCTGTCACTCTCTCACTTCACCAACTCCCATCCATCGCCACCTTCCCCCCGCTAGATTTCGGGGGTCGTCGCATTGTCTCAGAGGTCCCGGTTATGCCCTAGATTCGGTGCGAATCCGTCGGTCTTCGCCAGATCTGAGTCCCGAAGCACCGGATCAGAGACTCGCAAAAACCCTAATTCCGTCCGTCGGGAGGCTCCGATGGAGGAAGCTCTGGAACTCGCGCGAGCCAAGGACACGAAGGAGCGGATGGCCGGCGTCGAGCGCCTCCACCAACTGCTGGAGGCCTCGAGGAAGAGCCTCACTTCGTCGGAGGTGACGGCGCTCGTCGACTGCTGCTTGGATCTTCTCAAGGACAACAACTTTAGGGTCTCCCAGGGCGCTCTCCAGGCCCTAGCCTCCGCCGCCGTTCTATCTGGCGAGCACCTCAAGTTGCACTTCAATGCACTTGTCCCCGCCGTCGTCGAGCGCTTGGGGGATGCTAAACAACCTGTTCGTGACGCTGCCCGGAGGCTCTTGCTCACTCTCATGGAGGTTTTTTATTTTCCTTATTTTTATTTTTATTTTTTTGCTAATTCATCTATCTACCTATATCCAATTTTTATTTAATTTTTCTAATTTTTTGTTATCAAGCTTAATCTGCTTATTTAGTGGTGCATGTCTCTTAAATTTAATTGCATTCAAGTGATGTGAAAACTGAAAATTATACCACATTACCACGTGGAAACGGAAACAAAGGGCTCTCTTTTTTTTTCCTGGGTGTATGAAAGGCTAAGAATAAATTGAGTATCAAAATGTGGGATTAATACCGCATATTATGATATATATATATATATATATTAAATTTCATTGACTGTTTCCGTTTTAATTAAGCTTGCGTATGTTATTGGTGGATTGCCCATCATTTTTAATTTTGTTAATTTTCTTTCAAATTGGTTCAACGTTCTGATGAACGTGTTTCCGTGGTGCAGGTTTCTTCTCCGACAATCATAGTTGAGAGGGCAGGTTCTTACGCCTGGACGCATAAAAGTTGGAGGGTTCGAGAGGAGTTTGCGCGGACAGTCACCTCAGCAATTGGTCTTTTTGCATCCACTGAGCTCCCTCTTCAGCGTGCCATACTTCCTCCGGTACGTTCGTTGACTTTAATAGGCTAAACCACATTTTCTCTATGGTTTTATTTTCTTTATTCATTTATTTTTCTCCCCTGGAGTAAATAAACCAATCATTTGTCCTTTGGTTACCAGATTTTGCAGATGTTGAATGATCCAAATCCTGCTGTTCGGGAAGCTGCTATATTGTGTATTGAGGTTAGTGGTAACTTGTAGGGTAGCCATTCTTTTAGCTTGTTAAATTGGAGCTTGGTTTATACTCCAACTCTGTTTATTCTGACGCTGCAACCTTGTTCCCACATTTGTAATATTGAGAAATCCGAGGCCGCTATCTGAAGGTTGTTGTCGTTAAACTTGAGTTTTTGAGATTTTTCTTTCCCTGAAATTGAGTTTCCCTTATAGTAGCTATTCTTCACAGTTTAGACTCGATAGAGTGGGAAATATTTGGATTTGGCCAGGTGCATATCTAAGACCTTGGAAGTCTCGTTTAAATTTGAAGAGTGGGAAACCTGGAATATCCTTTCTATCAAGGACTATGCTTGTTCATTGAATTTTAACTAGGACTCAATCTTTAACCTAGAGATGAAATGCAAAATAGGATTCATTCGTGCATGTTTCATGGAGTAGGTTTACTTACCCATCATTTTTTATTGGGTTGTTGTATTATACTTTTGAAGAGGACTAGAAAAACAACTAGTTCCACTTGAAACGAGATTTGTTAAGTGCTAATTTCAACTGCATAGAAGTATGGTCAGAGGTCCTGTTTGCTTCGTGACAACTTATTGGATTTATCTGACTATTCCTTCTCCAGGAGATGTATACACAAGCTGGGACTCAATTCCGGGACGAACTACATCGCCATCATCTTCCCTTGTCTATGGTATATTACTTATTTCTTACAAGGAATATCCTATTCTAATGTGCAGTTCCATTTTTCTTTTTATTTGCAAATTAATGATGCTTTTGGGCATCAACTAGAGATAAAAGTGTGATCGTCATAATTTCATTAAAAAAAGTACCATATTGTCATACACAAGACAGATATTTACTTGACTCTTGATCAGTTTTTGTTATTGCATTTCCCTTGGATAGTATTCTTTCGGCCTCGCTTTGTTAATATTGCATTAAAACTGCAGGTAAAAGACATTAATGCCAGGTTAGAGAGAATTGAACCTAAAGTTCGTTCTTCAGATGGACTCTCAGGCAATTTTCCCACTGGAGAGATAAAACACATGACTGTTAACCACAAGAAAAGTAGTCCAAAGGCAAAAAGTTCTACAAGGGAGATGTCACTTTTTGGAGGTTAGCATATTTTGATCTCAAGTTATTTGGTTTCATATGTTTTTAGCATGTTAATGTTCTTGGTAATGTAGTATATGCCTTCATAAATTCAATAGCAAGTTAAAAAAATCCCGCATTTTCAAATTGCACTTCCTAAAAATAGTGTCTCTGTGTTTTTATTTTTGGAATGGATGGTGCTATTACATATTTATTTGTATAATTATATCCAAGTATACAATGTGAGGAATTGGAGGGTTGCTTGGTTATTTGTAACTTTATGGAGATAGTAAGTTTACTTTCCTTGGATATCTGGTTGTTACTGCTGTTCTTTTTTTTTTGGTCTCGTTGATTTGTTGAATAGTGGATGAGCATTCAATTTCTCTGCATTGCCGTTGGATGCAGGAGAAGATGTCACTGAGAAAACCACAGAACCCATTAAAGTTTACTCAGAGAAGGAATTGATAAGGGAGATGGAGAAGATTGCTTCTACACTTGTGCCAGAGAAAGACTGGTCCATCCGTATTGCTGCAATGCAAAGAGTTGAAGGCCTTGTTTGTGGAGGTCCGAGTCCTCTCCTTTCTCCTTTCTCACTGCTTAACCCCAATACACACACACACACACACACACACACACACACACACACACACACACACACACACATATTTGTTGGATGTAGTATGATATGTAGAAATAGCATGGGACTTGGAGGAGTTTGCTCTGTTTCAATCAAGGGTGCAACCTTTCTCATCTGCTTTTTGCTGATCATTTCTTTTAGGTGCTGTTGACTATCCATGTTTTCGGGGACTATTAAAGCAACTTGTTGGCCCCCTTAGCACACAATTGTCGGACCGGAGGTCTAGCATAGTGAAGCAGGTGCGCTTAACGTTTTTAGTTTCCAGGATCCTTCTTATTGGTTTCTTCCTCTGCCTCAAGTCACTTTTCAGGAGATTTTAATGTCAGATGACAGATGCCCTTACTGTAACAATTATAGAAAATTGTTTACTGTGTTTGCAGTATTGCTGAAAGTGTTTAATGCATGCTTAAGTATGGCATTTGATTGTATCTTTCTGTTGATACTCCTACACTTTTCTATAACAAAAATTGAACAGCAGGGCTCATTGGTTCTTTTTGTTTTATTTTAATTTTAGTACTTATGGGGCAACATGGCATGGAATTTTATTTAATTTTGTTTCAAGAGACATCCTTCTTTTGATATATTGTCTGTTCATACAGCTTAAAATTAAACATAATTTCATTTTCTATTCTTTTATATTTCTAGGCTTGCCATCTTTTATGTTTTTTGTCGAAGGAGCTATTGGGAGATTTTGAGTCATCTGCAGAGACGTTTATTCCAGTAAGTTTACATGTTTCCTTGCTGATTATGGCAATCTGTTACTTTCTTCAAAATTTTTATTGATTTGATTATATGTTAATCAGGTCCTTTTCAAGCTGGTTGTGATTACTGTACTTGTAATTGCAGAGTCTGCAGATAACTGCATAAAAACGGTAATTTTAATAGATTGTTCTATTATTATGTGACCTGCTTTTCCGAGAAGCATTGAGTTCGTTATAATGTGCTTCTTTCCATCTATCCCTTTTGCTATACAGATGTTGCGCAACTGTAAAGTTGCACGTGTGCTTCCTCGTATGGCTGATTGTGCAAAGAATGACCGCAGTGCAATTCTCCGAGCAAGGTATGAATTTTTATGAATTTATCTCCAGGAACAGCAATATGATTGAATTGTTTCATTCACTATTATATCCCTGTTGCATTAGGTGTTGTGAATATGCATTGTTGATATTAGAACACTGGCCTGATGCTCCTGAAATACAGCGGTCAGCTGATCTGTATGAAGACTTTATAAAATGTTGTGTCGCAGATGCAATGAGTGAGGTGATATTTTGTATTCTTTATAATTTATCAGCGATATTTTCTCATGCTTTGTGCAGAATTAGTTTTTTCTTTTCTTTTCCAGGAACCCTTGTTTTAAGTTAGTTTTTGTTTATTTTTGTGAAAATCTCTACTTCTATTTTATATATAATTGCATATGAAACTTGATAGGTACGCTCAACCGCAAGGATGTGCTACAGATTGTTTTCAAAGACCTGGCCAGAGCGTTCACGACGCTTGTTCTCATCGTTTGATCCAGTTATTCAAAGGGTAAGTTGTGTTACTTCATCTTATGTGTGGCTTCGCATGGTTTGCAGATAGATTATTTGCTTTTCACGTGAACAAATTTTGTTCAGTTGATCAATGAAGAGGATGGGGGTATGCATAGACGACATGCTTCTCCTTCTGTTCGAGATAGAGGTGCACTGACAACATTTAGTCAGCCATCTGCTCCCCCAACTTTACCGGGATATGGAACTTCTGCAATTGTTGCAATGGACAGAACTTCAAGTTTATCCTCTGGAACATCTCTATCTTCCGGATTACTCCTCTCACAGGCAAAGTCGCTAGGTAAAGGTTCTGAACGCAGTCTGGAAAGTGTGTTGCACTCAAGCAAACAGAAGGTCACTGCAATTGAAAGCATGCTTAGAGGGTTGGATTTGTCTGATAAACATAATTCTTCAACGATCAGGTCATCTAGCCTGGATCTAGGTACCTTATAGCTTTCCCTATTTAGATCCAAATTTCGTCTTGATATCAACTGCAATTTGGACAAATGAAGTCACTTGATGACATCATGTTAAGTTCTTAGAATTGGTAAAATTGGATACATCTATGAGCGGCTAAATTTTTCTCTTGTTGCCCCTAGTGCAGGAGTTGAACCTCCATCAGCTCGTGATCCACCATACCCTGCCTCTCTCCCAGCTTCTAATAATCTGACAAACTCTTTAATGACAGATTCGACTGCCTCTACTATCAGCAAAGGTAGTAACCGCAATGGTGGATTGGTTTTGTCTGATATTATCACTCAAATTCAAGCTTCAAAAGATTCTGGTAAATTATCATATCGAAGTAACGCCTCAGCTGAAACTTTGCCAGCATTTTCATCATATACGGCGAAGAGGGCTTCTGAGAGACTCCAAGAAAGGGGTTCCATTGTAGAGATCAATGACATTAGGGAGGCCAGAAGATATATGAACCCTCAAGGTGATAGGCAGTATTTAGACATGCCTTACAAAGATGGGAACTTTAGAGATTCACAGAACAGTTACATTCCTAATTTCCAGAGGCCACTTCTGAGAAAGCATGTGTCTGGACGGATGTCAGCCGGCAGGAGGAGAAGTTTTGATGATAGTCAACTGTCACTTGGGGAGATGTCAAATTATGTTGATGGTCCTGCATCTCTTAGTGACGCCCTGAGCGAGGGACTTAGTCCATCCTCTGACTGGTGTGCTAGGGTTGCTGCATTCAATTATCTTCGGTCTTTGCTGCAGCAAGGCCCCAGAGGTATTCAAGAAGTAATTCAGAATTTTGAGAAGGTAATGAAATTGTTTTTCCAACACCTGGACGATCCCCATCACAAAGTTGCACAGGCAGCTCTTTCAACTCTTGCAGATATAATTCCATCTTGCCGAAAGTCCTTTGAGAGTTACATGGAAAGGATTCTGCCCCATGTCTTTTCACGGTTAATTGATCCCAAGGAATTAGTTAGGCAACCTTGCTCAACAACATTGGACATTGTAAGCAAAACGTACGGAATAGAATCTCTCTTGCCAGCTTTGCTCCGGTCATTAGATGAACAGCGGTCACCAAAGGCCAAATTGGCTGTTATTGAGTTTGCGATTGGTTCCTTTAACAAGAATGCGGTTAATTCTGAAGGCTATTTTAACAGCGGTATCTTAAAATTATGGCTTTCCAAGTTGACACCGTTGGTCCACGATAAAAATACTAAACTGAAAGAGGCAGCCATCACCTGCTTCATATCTGTCTACTCCCACTTTGATTCAACTGCTGTCCTCAATTTTATTCTTAGTTTATCGGTTGAAGAACAAAACTCTCTAAGACGAGCTTTGAAACAGAAAACTCCTCGCATCGAAGTGGACTTAATGAACTTTTTGCAGAGCAAGAAAGAGCGACAAAGGTCCAAATCCTCGTATGACCCATCTGATGTTGTTGGAACATCTTCTGAAGATGGATATATTAGTGCATCAAAGAAAAGCCATTACTTTGGAAGGTATTCTGCTGGTTCTGTTGATGGTGATAGTGGCAGGAAGTGGAATTCTAGCCAAGAATCAGCCTTGGTAACGAGCAGCTTTGGCCAAGCTGCTTCTGATGAGATTCAAGAGAACTTGTATCAGAATTTTGACGCTGGTTCTAACAATGATCTTCTCAATTTGAAAAACAAGGATCTAACCTACAGCACTAATTCTCTTGGTCAGAACTTGGGCTCCAGGACTAGTGTGCTTGAAAGTATTGACGGCAGTGTAAACATAGAGGGTTCTTCAACCCCTCGACTGGTTGTCAATGATATGATAGGCTTGGAACACGCAGGGCTTACAGAAAGCATTGGACATGATACTGAAGCTCCATGTGATTTGGACAATAATAATCATAAACTTAAAAATATCAAGGTTAACTCAATGCCAGAGTCAGGTCCCAGCATTCCTCAAATTCTTCACCTGGTGAGTACTATGACATATGAAATTCAATAATTTTCTTTCAATTGTGATATCTTTTCCCCCCAAAATTGCAATAAAATCTTTTACTTCTCTGTATCTTGAATTACCATTGCAAGACCATTTTTTAAAGCTACTTAAACCTTGTTCAGTTTTCCGATTTGAGTTTTCAATATTAGTTTGCTACAGTAAAAAGCTCTCACAAAAAGTCACATATCAGCTTGAATTGAAAACTCGAATCGGAGAACTGAACGAGGAATTTGTATTTATGTCCTTGAATAGTTTATCCGACTTGGAAGGGTTTGGTGATATATTGTCGTAGTAATGAAGTTTATTTTTTCTTCTAATTTTTTTATTATATTTTCACATGTCTATAGATTTGTAATGGATCTGAGGAAAGTCCTAGCACAAGTAAGCGTGGTGCACTTCAGCAGTTAATTGAAGCTTCTATGGCTAATGATTACTCAATTTGGACTAAGGTTTGTTCAGTGTTGACTCTTTTGAAGCCCTAGAGATTTTCATTCCTCTCTCTCTCTCTCTCTCTATATATATATATGTATATGTATGTATATATGTATATGTATGTATGTATATATATATCTCTACGTATATCAATGTGTGTGTACAATCTGTACGCATGCACTCCTCTCAGTCGACTTCTCTGGTGTTTCATTTGCAAGATCTGGTTGCAGATGTCTTGGCATTGTGTCTTTATTTCAATGTCCTGGAGGTATTTTTATTATTCCTCTAGTTTGATACTTTAGATTTTAGAGGCCTAAGACTGCTTGGTCTAGTGGCATTGAGGGGTTTGGGTGGGATGAGGTTTAGAGGGGGAGGTTGCGGGTTCGATCTCGTATTGTACAAAAAAAAAAAAAAAAACTAAAAAAAAAAACCTTAGATCTTAAAGAAATGATTGTTTCATTTAAATAGAAGGCGTCTTTCTTTTTGTGATATTGAATTCTATGTTATTGGTTGCAATGTTATATTTTGTTGTGTTTGACAAAGATCATATATCTCGTTCAAATAATTATGCTCCCCACGTATTTGTCTTTTAATTTTATCTGTGACACTCTCATCTTCTCTATGCAGTACTTCAATCAGATTTTGACAGTTGTGCTTGAGGTGTTGGATGATTCTGATTCCTTGATCCGTGAACTCTCTCTCTCACTGATTATTGAAATGCTTAAAAACCAGGTTTGTTGTTATACTTTCTAATATATCGATAGATGATGTCCTTGTGTACGTTAACTAAAATAAATAATATTGCTTAATAGAGAAATAATATCTATCACAAATACAATTTTCGAACAGAATTCTTAATATTACAAATTTCATCTTGTCATGGGACCTTAAACCATTCTTGCTCAATCAACTGGAATTCTATTTTAACACTTACTCGCATCACGAGAACTATATGAGCTCAAGCTCAATAAGTAAACCATAAACAATTTCCACTTTCAAATACTTTTCTTTAACATTTAGGGCCCTCGTGTATAATATTAATTTTGTATTATAAGAACCTCTTTCATATGGTCACTGTCATGGAATCTCTTATTCCTCTAGAATTTGGCCCTTTATCATACTTCTGTTGGCTCATAATAAACAAGATTCACATATACTCAGAAATACTCTGCAATTATCATGAAAACATATCAATAATAGCATATATAAATTGAAAACTTTCATTAAAAATATACTACTGTTCAAGTGATGCAGTGGAAAGTCTACTTACCTCAAATTGCTTAAGAAGATAAATAGAACTTTTCTCTATTTTTTTTTTCTTTCCGTTCACTTTCTCTTTTCTTTCATTCTCTCTCTCTCTCTTTCTTTTTCCTATCACGTTTTCGTACTCTCTAGAGTTGGCAGTTTCTTAGGCCATATCATCAAGGCTATAACTTCAGTCGTCATGTGGCTTTACATAAATTGAAAACTTTCATTAAAAATATACTATTGTTCAAGTGATATAGTGGAAAGTCTACTTACCTCAAATTGCTTAAGAAGATAAATAGAACTCTCTCTCTCTCTCTCCCTCTCCCTCCTATCACGTTTTCGTACTCTCTAGAGTTGGCAGTTTCTTAGGCCATATCATCGAGACTATAACTTCAGTCGTCATATGGCTTTACATGGCCTTGGTAATTCACGTAAGGTCCTACCATTTACTTTAAACTCTCCAACTAGCACACTTAAAAATAATAGTGGTGACACCTAAATAACATGTATCTTGATAATAATATAAAATAAAATAAATTGTATTATTTTTCTTAACTAATCTAGTTACTCAAGAATACCGGGTATTACTTTGCGTTATTAAATACAATTGCTCACAGACCCTTGCTTGTTGTTACTAGGTATTTTGTTCTTACAGATTTGTAATTTGTTTTGAACTTAACTTTCTGTGTTGTAATTCTAGAAAGATGCTATGGAAGACTCTGTTGAGATCGTAATTGAGAAGCTGCTTCACGTTACCAAGGATATAGTTTCTAAAGTAATTACTTTTCCGTATATGCATCTTTGTTTTATGTTTCTGATGTTCCATATTCAAAACTGATCTGTTTCATATTCAGGTGTCAAACGAAGCGGAGCACTGTTTGACCACTGTCTTGTCTCAGTATGATCCATTCAGATGCTTAAGTGTACGTAGTTCTAAAATCCTCTCAACTCTTCCACCCCACCTCTTAATAATTACACCAAAAAAAAAAAAAGAGAGAGAGAAGAAAACAATTAGATGAAAAGTGCCTTTTACTTTCTTCTTTATCTTGCCATGATTCTTAGTTGTGTCAAATGTATTGATGATTGCAGGTTATTGCCCCTTTACTGGTGACTGAAGATGAGAAAACTCTGGTTACTTGCATTAATTGTTTGACTAAGGTATTTTTCTTGATATCTGTACCATTTACTTGGTTTGTTTGAGAAAACTTTTATATTCTGAATTATATAAATTGAATCGGTACAGGTACAATTTATAATAAGATTTTAAAGCTATCCAAGGAAAGTAAGCCTATTCTATTAATCCCACTTATCAAAGTATTAATTGCCTCTAAAACATGAAATCAAGAAACTGCACTAATTATTTACACCTTTACACATAATTCCTTAGGATTAGGGAGTAACATGGATTCTGTAAATAATTCAGAGAATCGCCCAGATATTTCCAACAGTTTGTATCATCCAACCATGTTCTTAGAGAGTATCGAAGCTGGTGGTCGGCTTTCATTTTGCTAACCTTCTTTTTCGTTCTCATTTTCCCAGCTTGTGGGTCGGCTCTCACAAGAGGAACTGATGGGTCAGTTACCTTCCTTTTTGCCTGCTCTGTTTGAAGCTTTTGGTAACCAGAGTGCTGATGTTCGTAAGGTGGGTTATGATTTTTCTGTTCTTTGATTATTTCTTCTGTGCTATAACTGTTTTAATATGATCATGTTGAAAGAAACATCTGGTCAAAAATAGGATTCCAAAATCTTTTGTACTTTAGTGCGGTGAAGTACATTGGTATTAGTCTCTTTCTCTCTCATTGTCTTGCCTATATGTCATCATGTTCTGTAAATTTTTATCTGTGTGCAATGTCCAAGCTTCTAAGTGGACCCTGGGAGTCCAGACTTATTTTAGGTTGGGCTGTGGGTTTGAGTTTAGCTTGTGTCCTCGCTACAGCTGCTTTTCCGTTTTTTTATTGTAATTCTTTGTACATTCATCTAGACTTACCTTTGTCTCCCCTCATTTGTGTTTTTCTTGGGTTGGTGCAGACTGTTGTTTTCTGTCTAGTGGATATATATATCATGCTTGGGAAAGCATTCTTGCCATACTTGGAAGGGCTTAATAGCACGCAGTTGAGGTTGGTCACTATTTATGCAAAACGAATATCACAGGCGAGGACAGGGACTCCGATAGACACGAATCATGATTAGGTGGTTCGTTTGGATAAAAATTGTGGGTTTGAGGTTTTGGTCATTTGTGTATTTTGTATATTGTGTGAATGCATTTTGAAGGTGGGTTGTTCGTCTTTTTCCTATTCTTTCCTAATATTTTTGTAATTCTTTTATCTTTTCATTTTTCTCTTGTTTGTTTGGCTTGGAGGCAGAGTGTTTTTTGTTGGGAAACAAATATTGTTTGGTGTAATTTACATTTGCCCAACAGTATTTATGATGTGGAAGAAATGAGGTTTTGCAATGTCCATACTTTTCAAACGAATTTCTTGTTTGTCCCGTTGCATAATTGTTCTTACTATTGTCACGGCGATAGAGTTTGAAATTCTATTTCGGGCTTCAGGGTGTTGTGCATAAGATAGCTGAAAGTCGTGTTTTATTTTGTTTTAGCACTTATTCTAGATGCCGTTGTAAATGAGAGCATCTTATTGTATGAATAATATTTATCCAAAAGAAATCCATGGATTGATGTTAAACGCATATGAGAAGGTCAGACTTTTTATGAATATATAATGTATGTGTGTGTGTGTGTGTATGTCTGCCTATGATATCTACTGCTATACTTGTAAGAGTAATGTTAGGACATTAATTCAAATCTAACTCTTGTATATTAATTGACGTGATATATGAGTTATCTTTTTATTAATATATAATATATGCAATTTCATATTATTAATTTTAAGATATAATAAAAACTTTAAAATATTTGATAAATAACAAAAAAAAAAAACTAAAATAATTAACGATATAATTTTGTAAAATTTTAAACGTGAATATCATGAGAATGCGTACTACGTAACTTTTGTTGTCTAAAATATTTCAAAAGAAAGCTTTGTATTTCAACAACTACATTCTCGTAAATTTGCCTTTTTTTTTAAGTCGGATTTCTGATTTTTTTTCCCTAAAGGACTACTAGAGTTGTGCCTTCCTATTGAACGCCGGCCTTGGCCCAATCTTGTTATTAGGAGATCTCGCCCGGATTCTAGAGAAAAATAAATATAATAATAATAATAATAACAATAATAATAATAATAATAATAATAAAGGTGATCTCCATGCATATTGCATAAAAGAGTGGGTTTGGTAAGTGTCTCGCCAATACACTAAAAGCCAGTGAACCCACAACAAAAGTTTTTGATTAATTGCTGAAAAGAAGAAGAACGTGATCACCATGCTTATTGCATAAAGAGTGAAACTAGCATCACATAATTAATTGTATTCTTTTTCATGTGTTGTGATCGAAATATAGGCAAACAAAAAAGGGCAGGATTATGATATATCACATAATTAATTGTATTCTTTTTATTATTATTATTATCACATTGTTATGAGGGCATGATTTTTACCAAAATTGTTTTATTCTTATAAGGTGCTTTTTTTTATACCCAGCCACAAAATTCTTTAAAGAAAAAAAAAGTTCTATAATCATATAGTAGTACTGAGAAATTCACATATGTAACACAATAATTACGAAAGTGATTAAGAGCTTCGAATGAATTTTGAGTCACGCCGAGCCCAAGAACTAAAGTCTAACAGCAGCGTTCCAATAATTAAGTGAACGTTTGGTTCATAAATTTAGAATCATTCTCGTTTTACGTGTATTTTTTGTGAGAAAAAATACTGTAACGAGCCACGAATCATAATTCGAATCATGACACGAATCTCCCTTTCAAATGCACGCTAACTCTTCTATAGGATAAGAAGGAAGTACAAAAAAGTGGAACATAAAATTAGACTCATTTGCACGTGATCAAATAGAAAGTGCAGATATCCCACTAATATATCTTACTGAATTAGGCTATACATTTCATGAGGATGATCATAACCTGTTTCTTTTTTTTCCTCAAGAGGAGATCGAATATATATATATAATTGAGAGGCTTTGAAAAGCTTTTGGTACTTTTGGGCAAATAAATATACATGGAACTAGTTGCCAACACTATAGAGAGCTGAGAAATGCCTAGAAAAGGATCAGAGAAGAATTATTTGAATTGGACAAGACCTGTGACGATCTTTTTTTGTTTAAGATGAGCCCCATACGGCTTTACAGGTGCACATCTTAAAAAAGAAGAAGAATAATAATAAAAAAAAAGATTCTAAAGGGTTCTCCACGTTAAACATAAGCTACTATACAACAGTTGTACTAAACAAAGTCTGAGAACTGGTTGACACTACAAAAAGTTCTTACTAGATATTACTAGTTGATATGATTGAGACATTTCTAATCAAATTTTTTAAGTGAGACAGCTAAAATCAATTGAAATGAATCCCGGGGTGGGTCTGAATTTGGAAGGCATGCTAATTCTGTTCAATTTACACGCTAATATTTCACCAAAATGAACAGGAAATTAGTATGGGTGAGGGCAGAAGTCGCGTTCTTAATATAGGCAAATAGCCGCAAGCAAAAATCACTTTTTTTTTTTTTTTTTTTTTTTTTTTTTTTTTTTTTGAAAAAGGGTTTTTAGCCTAGCGATAATTCAATTTTCACATGTAATGTTGAGGTCTTAAATTCAAATTCCGCTACTTATATGTTTTTTTTTTGTTTTATAAAAAGAAGTGTAAAAAAAAACAAAAGAAAAGAAAAAGTAATAACATGTGCATATCTCATTAGCAAGTTGTTCGGAGGAATCGCCAAGCACAGGACCCATATGATTGGACTTGGAGATAGGTACCGGCCGCAAGAGATCAATAGGGAAAAAAAAAAACATGGATTGAGGAATTGGACTTTTCTACCTCTAAGGTCCAAAATTTTGAATTTTGTTTGAAGGGCAAAAAGGGTTCCACTTAACTTTAATCACATCAAAATCTATGGAGATTTGGTAGTGATTTCGTGGGTACTAAATTGGAAACTATGGCTTAATTTGTTCACATGTATCCTGGCCGGGCATCTGACATATGTTTGCTGCAAGTGGCAGGTTAGTTATTAGAGAGACATATATATATATACATATATATATATATATATTATATACGTAGCATAATATCCACACAAATTAATTCGCATATGGATTATACAAAATTCAATAATTAAGGATAGTCGATTCCGTTTCCTTAATGAGCAAACAACATATTGGTTAAGTTTTTCAAATTATGAAAGTTATATACGCGTATGGTCACATGTAATCTAGAACTTTCTTTGTGCATTATTCAGAGACTTAAATGCTAAATCAGAAGTAATAAGGGAAACCCATCAAATAAATAAATAAATAAATAAATAAAAGGTGTTTGGCGGAGCTTCAATTGCTTGTTTTCACACACACACACACACACACAAAAACCTGATTAAACAGAATATGACTCAAATGGGGAAAAAATCACATGGGCTAGATTTTGGGATTTTTCTTAGAGATCTAAGTGAGACTGATATTCTATCTTAATTTTGGCACTTTGTCCTTTTTTTCCCCTACTGCCAGGACTACAGCTCTTTAAGTAGGCATGCATGCTGTCATGCATTATGGGAAAGTCACAATTCTCTGCTTATATAACTTTCTGTGCTTCAATACTCAACACCATTATTTTTTTTTTCTTTTTAATTTGGAGACACTGCTTGATTTTTTTTTTTTTTCTCCTTTCTTTCTTATCACATCTTCTTCTCAAACGAAATCAATAGTCTTTTTGGGGGGGTTTTTGAGGCCGAGAAAATCGATCACGTGGATGGTGAAGATGGAAGATATTGGAGCAAGAATATTAGCTGGTGATCATCAAGTACAATATGGCCAAAACCAAAGAACCAAGATAAAGGCTCTGGTTGTGGATGACAACATGATCAACCAAGCACTTCATCGCACACTCTTGCGCAATCTCGGCATCGAAAACCATGTCGTCGGAAACGGCAGGGAAGCCGTCGACGTCCACTGCTCCGGCAGGAGATTCGACCTCATTCTCATGGACCTAGACATGCCTGTCATGAATGGCATTGAGGTATACAAATCATGTCCTTAACAATAATAATAATATTCATCATTATAGAATGCGAATCACATATTATTATTTTTTTTTGGGGAGATTTTTGTCCTTTTTAGGAGTTATTAAACAGAATCTGATAAAAATCTCTTGCTGAAAAAATAAATAATATTCACTTCACTTTTTTTTTTTGGTTTAACATGTATAGGCAACAAAGAAACTGCGAGCGATGGGAATTCAAAGCACAATTGCTGGGGTGTCATCACGATCTGTTGATGAAAACATACAAGAGTTTTGGGAAGCAGGCCTTGACGACTATCAACAGAAGCCCTTAAACTTCCCTAAGCTGGTTTCCATCCTTCAAAAAGTTAACCATAGCGTTTGAATTTCATGTATTTTTTAGAGGGACAAATTGAAAAATAAAAAAAAGGGACAAATTAGGACCATTAAATATTATTGATTAATTTATTTCCATGCAATGTTTGCACTCTCTACTGGTGCGCTTGTTCAAGTGTTGTATGAATATTGAATCCTCTCAGGTGTACAGTGCTGTAGATAGAGAGAAACTTGTGTTGTTTATTTCGTTTTTAATACTATTGCCTTCTTTATTAATTATTTGTTGGTGGATCAAGGAAAGTATGAATTATGCATGCACTAAAGACGACAACATTAGAAGGCATTTTTATTGTGACTACAATATCATAATCCAAACATGTTTTCAATCTATTCTAGAGTTTTTATCCACTCCAAGATTAGAGGTGGTAGGGTGAGAATAAAGTTGAATCCTAGAGTGACATAATAAGGAGACAAGGAGTGACCCTTTATTAATATTATATTACTTTACAATTTGTTAAAGTTAAATATATAATAATTGCTTGACAGACATAGATTCGAATTTGACTCTATAATTCTGATTGATCAATTATTTCCCTCCTTTCCCCTTCAACATGAGGGAGAAATCCAGGGAGGTGCTTTGTTAGATGACTTTTTTTTTTTTTTAAAAGTATTTAACCTTAATGTTATAATTTTTTTTTTCTCTTTCTTTCCAAATTAACTTCCCAATTTACACATTTTTATTGGTACAAAAATACCCTTGTCACTATAAATAAACAACAAAAGGACCAAAGGTTGCCACAATGGAGCTGCTTGTGGCTTGACTCCAAATCAATAAAGTAGCTCAATCACATATCAATTGATCAAGATGCATCCCTAGACGAATTGGTTATGACATCAACGTATTTGATTAGATCTGGCAAGAAGCTTGACCTTAGTCGATCAAATCCCGCGGCGAGGCTTGTCGAAACCGACCTACCTAGGTGGTTGCAAGCCTCGCGGCCATTGTTGTGTTCTCAAGTAAGGAGATCACGTGACCGTCATTGGTTGCAAAGTGTTGTGAGGAGAGGCTGCAATATTATTGCAACTCATGTGTGGGTGTTGTGACTGGCAAGGTTGTGGCCACATAGTGGCAAGGTGATGTGACACAAAGTTGTCACCCATGCGAAGAACGTGCGAGCTTGCTTTGTTTTGGTCAGGCTCGTGGAAGTGTGAGGTGATGGCAGTGGCTAGCCTTGCCTGGTGAGTTCCTCAGCTAAGAGCTTCATGCCACTAACATTGTAGAGAAACGAGAGAGTGGATAAAAAAAAAAGAGACATTGAAGAGTTTGTGGGCATTTTTTTTTCATTTTACTAATTCAAGAGGCAAAATGATAGTTATTTAAAAAATTTATGACAAAATCTAGACACTAAAATGTATGTTCGAAATATGATAGTTCATCAAATTTCTGGTATCCAAAATAAAAGAGCGGGAATGTAAAAAAAAAAAAAAAAAAAAGAGAAAAAGTTAATGAAAAACAAGGAAAATAAAATAAAAGTAGAAATTACAATACACGATAAATGAATGAGAGCAGAGTTGAAATATAATAATTTTTATAAATATTTTAAATATAGTAAAAATTATATAGTAATTAGTATAATGATATTCACATATGTACTACAAAATTACATAGTAATTATTTTAATTATAAAATAATTTCTATTAATAAAAAAATTGAGAAAATTATATGGTTTGTCATGATTTTATACAAACCTACGAATTATGTCATTCTAAATAATTGGGTGCCATCATGGCTTTTCGTTTTCTCTTTATTAATTGGATGACAATTGTTTATTTTTTAGTACAGTGACATAAATAAAATTTTTTATAATCTTGAGTAGTATTTCTGGTTTTTTCCGCAAAACATTCTAATATGTTTGCTATATTTCCCATATTTATAAAAGGAAAAAAGAGACAAATAATAGTTTAAATAAGAGAAAATTGTTGAGCTTACCCTTAGAGTGCATATGGATTTTTACCTTTTACTGGGTATTAATTAACATTTAGAGGTAAAAATCGAGACCTATGCACTCTAGGTTTAGTTTAACAATTTTCTCTTTCTCTCTCTTTCTTCAAGAGAAAAAGAGACAAATACCGCCTTACATTGCATGAGTCTTAATTTTTACCTCTTACTCTTGATTAAACCTTTTAATTAAATTTTATATTAATCAAAAGAGTAATGATAAGAGTAAAATCTAAAAATTTAGACCATTGCCGTAATTTCAGTAATTTTTTCCTTCAAACAATTAAAGCCACAACCCTCTTTGTGCCATGGTGGTTGAGTGTGTTTCAAGGGTAATTTTGATAAATATACCTTAAAATAGTATCATTAAGGATTTTTAGGTCTCAATATTGGCCTATTGAATTTTATCCCTTTGGAGTAAGTAATTTGACATATAATTATCGATAATTTGACAGATGTTATCGGTGGAGGGCGTAATTTAATAAATTATTGTCTAAAATTTAATAAATTATTATCTATAATTTTATAGATTATTATTAAAGTGATAGTCTATCATAATAATAAAATGATTAAACTCCCGAATGATGTGTTTAGGATCAGTTTTTGTAATTTTCTCAAGGTTCAAGGGTTGTAGGCAACAACAAACAGATAAAGCCCACTTTGATCATCCTAACAGTCCAACTTATTTGAGGGTTCCAAAAGGCCCTAAGGCCCGAATCTGCCAAACCTTCTGTTTCAACTTTGTCCAATGTTAAAAGTACTTTCTTCGCCTTGCCCAGTTTTAGCCTCCATTAAACCCCTAAAACCCTAACGTGTAAAAAAGCACCCTCTGTATACCCGTTTCTTCTTCTCCTTCTTCGTCTTCTTCTCAACCATGTATCGCTTTGCCACTAGCCTCGCCTCCAAAGCCAGGTATATTCACTTTTTTCTCCACGTCGAATTCAAAGTCATCTTCTTTGTATGTTTTCTCGTCTGAGTTTTTCTCATTTCCCAAATTTCTCTCTCTGGTTTTTTTTTTGGTTGTAGGTTGTCTAAGAACAGCTGTCAGCAGGTAACGTTGACCATTCTTCTTCTTAACATTTTGACGTGAAGCTTTGGAATTGTAGTTACATTAATTTGAAACATATTTTTTTTTTGTTTTTTGTTTTTGTTTTTGTTTTTTTGTTTTTGTTTTTGTTTTTTTGTTTTTTTTTTTTAAATGTTGTGGTTTAGATTGGTAGTAGATTGAGTTGGGCAAGGAACTATGCGGCCAAAGACATCAAATTTGGGGTGGAAGCCCGTAGCTTGATGCTTAAGGGTGTTGAAGATCTTGCTGATGCTGTTAAAGTGACAATGGGACCCAAAGTAAGTCACTTTATGATTATATTTTCATCATTATTGGTGGATTTTTTGGGCTTTTAATTTATAATCAGTTCTGTTTCTGACTAGTTAAAACTTTTAGTTTGTAATTCGTAATTTGTAGTTTTTCGTCTTTGGGGTTGTTGAGTTATATGAGGACGGTTGTTGGTGTTTGTTTTGTTCTTTTCAGGGCCGGAATGTTGTTATCGAGCAAAGTTTTGGGGCCCCTAAAGTCACAAAAGACGGCGTTACTGTGGCAAAGAGTATTGAATTCAAGGACAGAGTCAAGAATGTTGGTGCTAGTCTTGTAAAACAAGTGGCAAATGCTACAAACGATGTGGCCGGAGATGGTGAGTGTTTGTCATCAATTTTTCAACTGAAAAGTGTTTTAGTTTTTTTTTGGCATTGATGAATCCATGTTTTTGTTCAGTACTTGGTGTCATTTTCGATATCATTTATGTATTTGTTGTAAATTAGAGTAGTTTTTACTTTGTACTGATGGCGTTGTGGGAAGACTGCGGAGGGCTGTTTTTGCATGTATAATGTATTTAAGTGGTGTAGACCGTTTCTTTTAATTGTTTGCAGGTACCACTTGTGCTACTGTCCTCACTCGTGCTATATTTACTGAAGGCTGCAAGTCAGTGGCAGCAGGGATGAATGCCATGGACCTTAGGCGTGGTATTACGATGGCTGTTGATGCTGTTGTGACCAACTTGAAGAGCCGGGCAAGAATGATTAGTACATCTGAAGAAATAGCACAGGTTGCTTTATGAGGTCTACATTTTTTGTTTGAAATTAGAGGGGTTAGAGATCATATTGGACTTAGCATGTTGCTCATATCATAACTTTTTCCCAAAAAGGTTGGAACAATATCGTCTAATGGAGAAAGAGAAATAGGTGAGCTAATAGCTAAAGCCATGGAAAAAGTTGGCAAAGAGGGCGTCATCACCATCGCAGTAAGTAATAAGTGTTTTCTTCTTTCTCAATTCTGGTTAACTTTTTTCTTATTCTATTCTATTCTTCTTTCGAAGAAATTGTTTTATAATATGAACACTTTGATTATGTTTAACCTTTGTAGGACGGGAAGACATTGGATAATGAATTAGAGGTAGTTGAGGGAATGAAGTTTGACAGGGGCTATATATCCCCGTATTTCATCACCAATCCGAAAAACCAAAAATGTGTAAGAATATTTTTTTTCCTGAATATTTTTTTCCTTCATTAATAATTATTTCCTTCTATATTAGTGTTTCTTGGATATATTCAAATAGTATTCTTTGCCCTCTATATAATCTTGGGAAATTCAAGACATTACTTGTGTCTCATGAAAGCTGCTTCATTTTGGATATTAATAATGTGTTTTATTTTAACAGGAGTTAGAAGATCCACTCATACTAATCCATGAGAAAAAGATCTCAAACCTAAATGCTATAGTGAAAATATTGGAGTTGGCCTTGAAGGTAAGCATTTCTTTCAGTGATTGTAGAAGTATGTTAGTTCTGTTTCCTTGATTGTCTACAGTCTAATCGATATTTTGTGGTTTTTCAGAATCAAAGACCTCTACTAATTGTCGCTGAAGATGTGGAAAGTGAAGCACTGGCTACTCTCATTATAAACAAGCTCCGAGCTGGAATCAAGGTAATCATTATCTTTTCTTATAGATACACTAAAAGATTTATTCCATTGTAGTGAAGGTGGCATTTATACTGTTTTATATTGGTTCAAGGTTTGCGCCATTAAAGCCCCCGGGTTTGGAGAAAACAGGAAGGCAATTATGCAGGATCTTGCCACTCTTACTGGTGGGGAGGTAGGTAATTCATTTAATTTTATTTTCTGTTGTAACTTCTTAACTACTAGGTGGTAAACTGCATAATTTCTTCTTTGTTTTGTTTTTGAATACAAAAAATATATGTAGGTTATAACTGAAGAGCTTGGTCTGAACATTGAAAAAGTAGGACCAGAAGTGCTCGGTAGATGCAAAAAGGTGAGATACAATTACAATGAAGCTTTATTGTTCATCTTTTGTTCTCGCGTTCCACTTTGCATGCCTTTTGCTCTATGACTGACTCCCATGGTCTGCCATCGTTCACCATAGGTTACAGTATCGAAGGATGACACTGTTATTCTGGATGGTGCTGGTGACAAGAAAACGATTGAAGAACGATGTGACCAGGTTTATGTTAATTTTTGTATAACGTCTTTATCTTTTTTTTTTTAATTTATTTTTTCATATATTAACTGATCACTGATGTTAATTTATGACTGTTGTAGTTGAGATCTTCCATTGAGTTGAGCACTTCTGATTATGACAAGGAAAAATTACAAGAGCGGCTTGCAAAGCTTTCTGGCGGTGTTGCTGTCTTGAAGGTAATTTTTGAAGAAATTTGTCTACTGTCATAATATCTTGTGAGTATTTTGTTATTGCTTTTAAAACATTACCCTGATTAAAGTCTGGTTACTTTTAGATCGGAGGAGCTAGCGAAGCAGAAGTTGGTGAGAAGAAGGACAGAGTTACTGATGCTCTAAATGCCACCAAGGCTGCTGTAGAGGAAGGAATTGTGCCTGGTGAGTTTGTTTTTCAGTAGCGGGATTTATTTATCTTGTCCGATTGGAGTCCTCAAATGGTAAGTTAAGAGCTTCCTATGCGCAGGTGGTGGTGTTGCTCTTCTATATGCCTCCAAGGAGCTAGAGAAGTTGGAGACAGCAAACTTCGATCAAAAGATTGGTGTCCAGATCATTCAGAACGCTCTCAAGGTTTCCAATTGCTTTTTTCTTTATTCATTTTCTCATGATCAAGCTATTCAACAACAACAACAACAAGCCTTAATCCCAACTTAATTAGGGTCGGCCATATGAATTTCACTTTTTCACGCAGTTTCGTTCGAAATTAAACTTTTCTGAAGGCCTAGATCTAGAATGTCTTTCTTAACTACTTCGGTCCACGTATTCTTGATTTATCCCTCCCTCTCATAGTATTAGGTATAAGAATGTCCTCCCAAGCACAAACTGGTGCTTCTAGCGGTCTACGTTGGACATGCCCGTATCACCTCAAGCGGCCTTTGCGCATCTTATCTTTTATTGGTGCTACACCTACTTTACTACGAATAACTTCATTCCTTATGCGATCCATTCTCGTATGGCCACTCCTCCATCTTAACATACGCATTTCTGCCACACTTATTTTAGATATATGTTGTCTCTTAATGGCCCAACATTCACTACCATATAACATAGATGGGCGGATTACAGTCTTATGAAACTTTCCTTTCAACCTAATAGGCATCTTGTCATCACATAAAACTCCCGTAACATTCATCCATTTAACCCACCATGCCTTAATCCTATGATGAATATTCTCTTCTATATCTCATTCGTACTGCACCATAGACTTAAGGTACCTAAACTTCCTAAAAGCCTCAATCTCCACACCATCTAAAGAAATTTCATCACTTTGATTACTTGAGTTACTAAACCTATAATGCATGTATTCAATTTTTGTCCTACTTAACTTAAATCCCTTCGTCTCGAGAGTCTGTCTTCACAGTTCTAACTTACGGTTAACTTCTTCCCTATGTTCATCAACTACAACTATATCGTCCGCAAAAAGTATACACCAAGGAACTCTATCTTGGATTTCTCTTGTCAGCTTATCCACCATGATGGTGAAAAGATAAGGACTTAGAGTAGATCTTTGATGAAGGCCGATCTGAATGGGGAATTCCGCCGTGTAGTCTCTAGCAGTTCTCACACTCGTGACCGCCCCATCGTACATGTCCTTAATTACCTTAATATACTTCACATGCACTCATCTCTTTTCTAACACCCACCATAAAACTTCCTTCGACACTCTGTTCTATGTCTTTTCTAAATCTATAAAGATTATATGTAGGTCCGTCTTGGCTTCTCTGTACCTTTCCATCAGCATCTTAAGAAGAAATATGGCTTCCATGGTTGATCTGCTTGGCATGAAGCCAAATTGGTTACTTGAGATGGTAGTTGTGGCCATTAATCTCTTTTCAATATCTCTCTCTCAAAGTTTCATAGTGTGGCTTATTAGCTTAATGCTCCTATAATTGTTACAATTCAGCACATCACCTTTATTCTTGAAGATGATGACAAGAATACTTTTCTTCCATACACCATGCATATGCTTCTTCTTTAATATCTCATTAAAAAGCTTAGTGAGTCACACAATTTTAACATCTCCTAACGCCATCCAAACCTCTATTGGAATATCATCTGGCCCACATGCCTTTTCCTTTTTCATTTTTCGTAGTGCAGTTTAAACTTCCGAGACTCTGATTCCTATTGTATACACCGCATTAGGTTCTCCTTGTGACCTAAGATTGTCAAACTCTATCGCATGATCATCATTATAAAACTTCTCAAAGTAACTCTTCCACCTTTCCCTAATATCTTTATCTTTTGTCAGAACCTGATCCGTATCATCCTTAACACACCTCACTTGATTTAGGTTCCGACACTTCCGTTCTCTTATCATAGCTAGTTTATATATATCCTTCTCTCCTTCTCTAGTCTCAAGTTTCTTATATACCTCATCTAAGTAAGTAGAACGAGTCTTACCAACTGCTCGCTTAGCTTATTTCTTCGCTTTTTTGTACTTATTAAAAGTTTTAACATCCTTACACTTTGGTAAATCTCTATATAAATCTCTCTTGGTCATAATAGCCTTTTGAACTTACTCACTCCACCACCGGGTTTCTTTTCCTAGGGGGCCTTTATCTCTAGATTCCCCTAATACCTCCTTTGCCATTTTTCTAATGTAACTGGTCATGACATCTCATATAGTATTTGCATCACCTATATATGATCAAGTAGCCTCATCTAACAACTTCTCTTTAAAGGCCAATTGCTTTATTCCCTTCAAATGCCACCAACAAATTCGTGGGAGGTGGTTTATCTTAATCCTTCTATAGCAAAGCTTAATGCTCACATCTAAGATCACTAACCTATGTTGGGTGGTTAGTACTTCTTCAGGAATTACTTTACAATTCTTACATAAAGAACGTTCTCTATACTTTGTGAGAAAATAATCTATCTGGCTCAAGTTCCTTCCATTTAAAGTGATCAAGTGAGAATCTCTTTTCTTGAAAAATGTATTTATTATGATAAAACTCATGATCAAGCTATTATGCCAAAAAAAGAAATCCGCTGTGTATCTACAGAGTTCTGAGGCATAACTCGGTTTGAACAATTCATGGAAAGTAAAAGATGAAAATTTATGGAAAGTAGAAAATGAAAATTTATGGAAAAAAAATAAAATGGTGATGCATACATGTTGCTCCACCAGGGTTATTTATTAGGCATATCTTGATTTCATCCTGGATGTTTTTGACAGATGCCTGTATACACAATTGCTTCTAATGCCGGCGTAGAGGGGTCCGTAGTTGTTGGCAAGCTGTTGGAGCAGGACAATCACGACCTTGGATATGATGCAGCCAAAGGTTTGTGTTCTTCAACAATTCAACAAAAACAGATTAGTGTGAATGACATTTGAAATCTGCATTTAAACGTAGTTTTACTTCTTTCAGGTGAATATGTCGACTTGATAAAGTCGGGAATCATTGATCCGTTGAAAGTCATCAGAACTGCCTTGGTAGACGCCGCAAGGTACTAATTCTGATACCTTTACAAAGGCGCTTTCTATGATGTTTGACTATTCTTTTTGGAGCTCCTTAATCATATTTGAGCAAGAGCCTCACTATGTTATATTTGTATTCTTTTGTTGTGTAGTGTATCATCATTGTTGACAACAACTGAAGCTGTTGTTGTTGAACTTCCCAAGGATGAGGAGCCCGTTGCAATGCCGCCGGGCATGGGAGGTTTGGGTTATTAAAAAGCCTCACCAAAGTGTTTTTGATTCTTTGATCTAAACTTTGCAACAGAAATTTATGGAGGAGAATAAATTTTTACACAAGCGAATATGAAGTTTAATAGGAACTCTTCCTTGGTTACATCTATTCATTTTTTGTTAACCATTTAAACTGAGAGTTTTTAGAGTTATTATTATTAGATAACTACACTTCGTGACTGCAATTATGTGCATAATTCATGGTTTCGGCCATTCATTTCTCAGTACAAAAAAAAAAAGAAAAAAAGAAAAAAGAAAAAAGAGTGCACAAAGTCCTTTAAACGGTACTTTTTTCTTTTTTTATTTCGTTTCCTGTTTTTAATTATTGGGCATAAGAAATAAGAATAGAACAATACCTGAAAAAATATATTATTTTTAAAGGACTATCTCAAGTAGTTAAGTAGCTTTGCAACAAAATTATTTTAATATGGTCTAGTCTCTATATGATCTAAGTATAGTCTAGTGGGACGTCATTGTCAATTCAACTACTAATCCAGCTTTAGAAAATACGACGTTTTGTGTGAATATTAAAATGCTTCATGATTGGTTTATCATGACTGGCATTTCTTTTTTGACGAAAAAAATGTTTTCTTATATATTTTTTGTTGGGACTTATTTTTCTTATTTATTAGATAGTCTTCTTATTTATTAGAGAGTCAATAAGACAACTATCTATATGAAAAAATTGATACAAGTTTGCTTTTTTTTTTTTTTTTTTTTTATCACTTAAGCCAATAAATAAACTTTATTATCCACTGCTTTGATCAATCAACAAAGCACTTTTCATGAATTAGGAAGAAAGACTCATATGATTAATTCAAAATTATAAAATTAAAGCCGAATTCACTCTGGGTTTAAAAATGGGCGAAAAAGAGAGAAGAAAGAAACGGAACTTTTAAGGGAAAAAAAGATGAATGAAATAAATAAAGTTGGAGAAGAAGAGTAACCTTTTCCTCCTCGATTTTCGAGCCAATAATTTCATTTTCTTTTTTTAAATATTTATTTTTGCATTTTTTATAGCCAATAGACTGAGTAGGAACAACGGGGCTTAAGGAGGAGGAGAGCCCACCTGGTTAGCACTCATTAAAGGAAAAGTAGCGGGAGAAAGATAAATTCTCATTTATTTCACTTATTTAAATTTTTAACTTTTATAATTAAAAATATTTAAAAAACATTATTTTTAATTTTTTTATTATAATTAAAATTTTTTAAAAAATATTACATTTTAATTTAAATTAAAAACTCAAAATTCATATGGCTTCATTCCACGTGAATTCAAGATGTCGGTAAACACTCGAACATGGTACGCTCACCACTTGCCACGTCTGCACGCTTTACGATGGACCCTCTTTATGATCCCCTACTTTTCTCTCTCTTTGCTCAGTTGTGCTATCGAAATTTATGGTCCTCATTTTTCTATTTGGAATTAGATCCCCTGTTCCTGATTCTATTTTGTTACCTGTTCCTGTTTTGATTACTACTCGCCACTTTTTTGTTGCCTGTCCACTACTTTCTTTTTCTTTCAAATATTTATGTGTGTGTGTGTTTGTATATTCATAATTAAATGAAAATAAAAAAATTGTTTGTATATTCATAATTAAATGAAAATAAAAAATTAACTGGTTGGTCATGTTACTTTGGACAGACTCATAATTAAACCAACTCTGCAAGATTGCTGGATAGGTGATGCATTATAGTCTTGTAGATGTGTGTATATAATTTATTTCTAGCGAACAATAATGTAATTCTCTCCGTGTAATATAAATGACAATTTTTTCATACGACTATATCAGGCTTTCAATTTTCCGGTGACCTATTTGAACCATTTTCGATTATCATCCGCTAAATTTTTGCGCCGGAATCTTAAAATATTGTTGTGAGTGTTTAGCATAGGGTTAATTTCACTTTTAGCATCCGAATTATGTTTCTTATCCTATTTTGATACCTAAATTTTAAAATGCTACCTACTTACAATTTACTGCTTGTACTGTGTTTGATCCATAAGTCAACCGTGTTTCACCTTATATTACTTGTTTATAGAAAAGTATTTCAGATAAGTTGTGCCTTAAAATGAATTTAAATAACTTTAACCCTTATATACTTCGTTAGCCAACAATCTCGTAAAGAGGTACCATATATATATATATATATATATGGCATTAGTTATCTAAAATACCATTCATTAACTAGTGATGTGAGTTTTTACTCTCATTTTTGCCCCCGAACTTTGGTCTCTTTGTCACTTTACCGTATGAATTTTAAAAATTGAGATGTGCACCATTCGAACTTTGAAACTTATCAACTTTACCCCTTGGTTTTTTTAACAGATTTGATGACATGACAATTATTGGAGAGGAAAGTTAATAGATTATTTTCACAAATACCCCATAAATTATGTACCATATTTAAAAATGCCCATGATCTATTAAAATTGGTCAAAATGCCCCATAATCCATAAAAAATGTAATAAAATGATAGTTTTATTGACGTGGCATGCCACTGAAAATTAATCAAACATATTAATTTCTAATTAAATATTAAAAATAATAAAAAAATATAAAACACTAAAATAAAAAATAAATTAATCAACTATTTTTTTTCAAAAATCAAAACAAGAAAAGAAGAAAATATTTTTACAACTCAAGTTCTACTACACAGTATCTTCTCTCATAAAAATTCAAATTTAACTATTGTACTACAGTGTTTTTCTCTCAAAAACACTACTCAAGTTTAGAACGTGAATTGTGAAACAAACATAGCTGAAGTAGACTTTTCAAAAAAAAAAAAATTTCCTCTTTTCTTTTTGGTTTTTTTAGAATAAATGATTTGTTAAATTTTTAATTTTTTAAAAGTAAAATGTTTGATATTTATTTTTTTATCATTTTTAATATTTAATCACTTTTACTGCTTTAATTAGAATTTAATATGTCTAATTAATTTTTAATAGCATCAACAAAATTGTTGTTTATTATGTTTTCTGTAGATTAAGGGGCGTTTTGAAATGTTTTCATAGATGAGGAGGTATTTTTAAATAAAGTAGATACTTCGGGGGCATCTATGAACATGATCCTTTAAACTGTCCCTCTAATAATTGTCACGTCATTAAATCCGTTAATAAAACTAATAGAATGGGCAAAGTTAATAACGTTTTAAAGTTCGAGGGGTGTGCAAATTAATTTTCAAAGTTCTGGGGGCAAAGTGACAAACAGACCAAAGTTCAGAGGGCAAAAGTAAAATTTATCCTTACAGAGCATATTGAGAAAAATTATATAGTTTGCTATCTTAACCTTTTGTTTTCTCTTTACTAATTAAATGACAATTGTTTATTTTTAAGTGGAGTCCATAAATAATATTTCTTACATCTTGAATGACATTTTTTCCTTGTTTTTTTAATTATTTTTGTGATGTAAGGTCCAAACATTAAATAATAAATATAGTTTTGAAATGATTCGGCCCGCCAGACATGCCTCACAAGTGACTGTTGGGCCCATTGCGTGCCCAACAGTCTGCCCATGACGGGCATGCCATTAGGCTTGTCACGGTCTAACTGTTGGGCACATGCGATGGGCCCAATGGTCACTTGTGGAAAATCATCAAAAAAATCCCCTATAAATACTCCTAAATCCCACACAACATTCACCACAACAATTCACTCTCAACTTCTCATCTCACTCTCATTCTATCTATCATCTTGTCTCTTGGATATTGATTCTAAGCTTTTCTCTCTCGATTACTCATTTTCTTGTTGTTTCATTTACAAAGTTCAATCAATTTGAAGAAATCCCGGAAAAAAGGTATTCTATTTATTAATTTTGTTACATAACATTGTATTACTCAAGTTTATTTATATTGTTTATTGTTTATAAATGAACGAATTAACATTAGTTTATGTTTTTTTTTTTTTTTTAGAAAATGGCCGCATCAAATTTCTCTGATTTCACTGTGCTCCCTAAGCTTGGTAATGAATCAGTTTACGAGGATGAAATGTTGACCCAAAACTCCAACCCTACTGAACCGGAAACAGTTTCAGTTGATAATGCTTCAGTGCAAAACGAGGAAGTTGGAGAACGTGGTAGGGGAAAAGACCGCGAACTGCTCTCGCATAGCAGCATTTCACAGAGGAGCCCCGACCAAATCTAAAAACAGGTACAATGGAAATTCGTGCGGTATGTAAATATTGTAAAAAAAAACTTTTCTAATAAAAAGGATGGGGGTATTGGTCATCTGGATAGACATTGAAAAGCATGTCTACCGTTGCACCAAGGTGGGAGTGTGGACTCTCACTAATAAATACTATCACTCACATCACAAGGGTTGCAAAATTTAACATACGATGCACAACATGCTTGTGAGGCACTAGCAAAATTTTTAGATTACCTCTTTCTTTTACAGATAATGCAGCGTTTGAAGAATTCATACAGACGGCATTCTGCCAGCAATTTAAATGATTAAGTAGAAACACAACTCGTTCTGATTGCATGAAAGTGTTTTATGCAATGAGACAATCTCTAGTTGATAATTTTAGGTCTTTTAATGCTATTATATCTTGTACTTCTGATCTTTGGGAGGGGTGCAATAAAATTGGATATTTATGCATCACGACGCATTATGTTGACGAGGAATGAGTTTTACAAAAGAGAATAATAAGTTTTTATTTATGTCCATTTCCTCATAACGCAACTGTTATTTTTTCAACTACAATGGAAATTTTTAATTTTTATGGGATAGAAGATAAAGTTTTAACAATTATTTTTAATAATGCATCAGCTAACATGGCTGTAATTAACATATTTAAACTTAATTTGAAACCACTTTTTGGTGGTGAAATTTTTCATCAACGGTATGCGTAAAATATAATAAATTTAATAGTACAAGCAAGAATTGAACAGATTTCCTCTCATCTAACAAAGGATGGGGGTACTTGTAACGCCCTCTAGAATTAAACATGTTTAATTATGTTAAACTGTGGATTATTAGTGTGCCTAATTTGATTTTCATAATTTATCAAGGGACTTTAAGTTATTTTCAGTATTTATAATTTCACCCCAAAGATTTTTAAAAAACACACTTAAATTTTAATACATTTTTCTTTTTCCCTTTCTTTTCTTTTTCTTTTTCTTTTTTTCTTTTCTTTTTTTTTCTTTTCTCCCTTTCCCTTCCCGTGCGTCCAGCCCCCCCAT